TTCCTTCATGCGAGATATAAGCTTAAATTTTTCCTCAGCTTCAACCTGTTGGCGTACGTCAGTTCTTGATGCCCGGTCTGGGTGAAATTTCAGCAATGCCCGTTTATAAGCTGCATGCACCTGAAATCGCCATTCCCATTAAAATAATTTAGGTAAAATATATGAATGCATTGAAACCCACGTAGTTCAAATTTTCATAACCCATTCAACCAAAAACTACCAAGAACCTAAAGCATCTTAGATCAAAAACTTATTTTAACTTACCTCATGTGGCAGAGGACAGAAGCCAGCCCCCACTTGAATTCCTAAGCCACGAAGCAAAGAAGCCATATCTATACATGTCAATTCCAATCTTTTAAGCTCCTTCCTTATTTCAGCACGAAGTTGGTCTTTCAAATTTAAATTTTCTTCATCCTGAATATGGCATTATTGAACACATCAGAAATATCCAATCAATTGTACCTGATCTTAAAACAAGATAGAGAGTCCTTTAAACTTGAAAAGTAAATAAATAGCTAACTGTTGTATCGGGGAGAGAGAAAAAGTCAAGACAGAAGGAAAAGCAGCATTCAGGGAAAAAATAAGATATGATGAATGAATATTGAATATATGAATACAAACCTTCTTTTGCGTCTCTCTTACTTCTTCCACACGTTGCTTTTGCCTTCTCTGCATGTCTAATAACCGCATGCTTTCAGCCTTTCTCCTCTTGCGTAATCTTTGTGCCTCTTCTGCCTGAAAAACAGAAATATACTCAATGTCAGGTCAAGTGGTCATTCACTAGAGACTACTGAGCTCCTTTCAAGCTCAATTTGTACAAACAGAAAGCTATTGAAATACACAAAAACTACAAGTAACAAAAAAAATGTATGGATTATAGTTAAAATATTGGTTGGATTATGTCCAGCATGTATAAATACATTGCATATGAAAAACACTAAAATATTGGTTGGAATTTATCAGAACCCCTATAGCAAATCATAATATGTACTAGGGAAGACTGACTGTAATACTCATTAATGAATAAAATTAACTTAAACTACCAGTCACAAAAGCCAAGTGGGAAGGTTCAACTCACAAGAAGGTAGAGGGTGAAAAAGGGAAATTGGAGCTTATTTTTGTGTAGTCTAAAGGCCCGATGGACCAAAATAAACAAACATAAACTTAAATATAAAAGTAAAACAAAAAAGCTATGTATGCATGTGCAGAACCTGAATTTGTAAGACTTGCTGCCTAGATGCCATTTCTTCTTCTATTGCTCGCTTGTATTCAGCAGTCTCCTTGAGCTTCTCTCGATCAGTGATTATATCTCCTTCTACAGCGGCTGCATCTCTTTGGACAGGACTTGCATAACCATCTTCAGCATGTAACATATCCCTTAAATCACATGATTCTTTCCCTCTTTCTGAATCAAATCCCCCCCGATCACTACTTGCTCCATTACACGATGTGTTGCACAAAGATACTTCCTCAAAGTCTACCATCACATTCTCCTGGGAACAAGATTTTTCATGGACAGCACCAATTTTGTCTTCAGAAGGGGTGAAACCACAATCCATCTGTGTTTCATCAGATGGTTGTCCAGAACCTGTTTTGTCCTTTTCCTCAAAAGTAGCTCCATTTCTGCACTCCTTTGGCAAATAAGTATTGCAACTAGAAGAAGCATCATGAAATTCATTATTCTTCTTGCCCCTTAATTCAACTCTGTCATGGTCACCAGGCATTTCACCAGAATGTTTGTTTCTGCAGGAAAAATTTTCATCGTTCAAAACACTAGGTTTCCCTTTATCATTGTCAGAACCCGGCAAGGAATCAGAAAAACTAGTTTCATCCCTGAACTTTTGCACATTATCCATAAAAGAAGTCCCTGTATGTTCAGATTGTTTACCACCTAGGTCTTCCTTAGACCACAAGGGAGGCTCTTCAGGACTTTGTTCTTCTTCATTATCATTTTGGGAACTCTGCCACTCATAAATAAGAGTATCTTCTTTTGGGACATTCTGATTTGATTCCACAGAACCATCCATTTGGGGACCAAAAGAACTACCCTCCCCGTGGCTATCACGGGTTCCCATAAAGTCTGGAAGGTTTTCCTTTTCATAATTTCCATTTTTTGAACTTGAACAAACAGGGACATCTCTCTGTGCTGTCCTATTCTCTACTTCAACATTAGCATGGGTATCACTATGAGATCCAGATCCACTAGCTTGATCGGCTGAACCAGACTGACCATTATGAACAACATGTTTTCTCTTTTGAGAAGCCTTTTCCCAATGTTCATGAAGCTTCCCATAAGACCCTTCTATTAGCTCGCAATCAGAATAATCACTATCAGATGAATCACTCTCAGACTCAAAACCTAAACCATAACGATTTCTGCCAGGAGCTTTACCAGAGCGGGTTTGCTTGCAACTTGACCGCTTTAATGCAGAACCCTTTTCCTGGACAACCTGACATTCATCGCCATCCGAAGTTACAGAATTCTGCCTATAGTTAGACGCAGGAAAAGAACTTTTGCTTGAGGTGGCATCACTATCCAGGTCTCCAACCTCTTCAACAGAGATTACAGGAGTAACGTAATTATCATCATCATTGTCATCATCTATATAGATGAAACTACGGAATTTAGATTTTCCATCTTTTCTCAATGTACTGGAACCTCGTGACTGTGGCTGTAAAGACTCGGGATAATCAACATCGATGACATCTTCATCTTCAAGATCGATGAACACAACTTTATCAACATCCCCTTTAACCTTGCAACTTTCCACACTTTTCTTCCCAGAACAACTTCTGAGTTCAGAAAATTCTCTTGATGGTCCTCTCCTTCTCATCTACTTCTGCATCAAAAAAAAATGAGAGAAATTTGAGTTCCCATCACATACATTTCAGCCTTCGTAGCTGATAAAATAATATTGGCAATCAAAATCCAAAAATTATGTACTGTAAAAGCATAATAATAAATGGAAATGGAATCCTTTTGCACAAAGGTGATAATTTCATAGGACTCATCTAAGCATTCTTATAAGTACAGAATTCAATAGACTCATTTAAACATGTTTATAAATATAGAATTCAAACGGAATCAAAATTGGGATACCCTGCATGCTACTTAGTTGAAAGAAATTAGCGAAAGACAAGGAATAATTGTCAGGAACTTAGATAAAACTTTCATGGGCAGATACCGCTTTTCATCTCAAGTAAGTTTCATCAGGTAAGCATTACTCCTAAGAAATCTGAAGATCCAAATGGATGAGCCTTGTAGGACCAGTTTACTACAACCAATTCTCATCAAACAAACTTTTAATGTGTCTTTGTGTTTGTGTCTGTAATTATGATGGAAATAGGTCATCAAAGCACACATTCATCTTTAACTCGTACGAATGCCACACCAATGGCTTGCAAATACAAAAACTCTTCACCTAAAAATCTGTTAGGGCTTGTTTTCAGTCGAAGCAAATATATTATAGGTGAATAACACCAATGAAATCCCGAATACGCAATTGAAACAACGACCCAATAAAGTTTACGCAACTCTTACTTGAAACCCTAAAGAAAGAAATCAAATTTCAACCATTTTCAATGAAACAAAGCATAATCGCTTACCGAAGGGAATTGCATAACAACCAAACCCTAAATTCAATCAAAATCTCAGGGAGACTATTGAATAAAATCATTTATCAGGAATCCATATATGGACGCGTAAACATAACGAAGACACAGAAATTCAAAAATCATAATCGAAGGCTGAAAATTGGACAAATATGCAGAAAATCAAATGTAAAAATGGACGGCTGAACCTCACCTTTCCAGGAAAAAAAACAGGGGAAAACCCTAGCTCTTCGTAGACGAAGCCACCACAGCGAAATACCCAAAGAAAAAGAGAGAGCTTCAGAGAATAAGGAGGATAGCGAAGTCGATATTTCCCTTGGGAGTTTGAAATTGAAACCAAAATGTTTTGGCACCCAACGGACGAGCGAAATCAATTAAGGAAAACATGAACAGAAAAATAAAATAGATAAATAAATAAAACGTTGAATATGAAAAGATATTGCGACTGTGGTAAGTTGCGTCAGCCGTGACGGTAGCAAGCCTCACATACGAACCGCATTCACGCTTTATAGTCTACGAGTCGTCAACGAGTGTGTTGATTGGTCTGTGATTTCCTACAACCTTACGCTAGCATTTTTGTTTCCGCGGGTTCTTTTCATTACTGCGCAGTGAAGACTTGGAATTTTTTCCATTTCTAGAATATGACTTTGTATTTATTTCTGGTGGGACCAGCCTGCCAGACCCATAGACTTCATCTTTAAGGGTTTTTTTTTAAGTGTTAAACGAATCTTAAAATTAATTGAGTATATCTTCTTATTAAACTATTTATTGAATTATTAATTTATCCTAATATAAAATAACAAAAATAATATATTAAATTGTGAAACAAATATAATTTTAATAAATACACCCTACTCATCATATTCAATCTTAATCAAATGTAAAGAAGTTTTCGTATTGCTAAACAAAGTTCATCACAAATATAATTAAACGTAGCCAAATATGATTACATCGGCCCATCACTTTGAGGCGTTCATTGGAGATCAGACAATGGTGAGGATTATTTGTAGCAAAAAAAAATGTTGATAAGGCCCAATATATTGAACGTGAAACGAAAAGGAAGATAAGCCCAAAGTTTTGGTATGATCATTTAGGCCTGGATCAATATGCAAGATGATTGATGGGCTCGCAAGTCACAAGACAACCACAAAGATCAACTCAACTCAACTAGCGGCAGGACTTCTTTTATCATCTGTAATTCATTGGCAACCATACAAAGAAAATGTACTCAATTTACAGAGCCATGGGAGGCATGTATATAAGTTTATATGACATACAGGAGATAAATCCCAATAACACACATGTGCCATAGAGCATTTTAGATAGCATAAACTTGCCATAGAATATAAACCTTGTGCAAAATTCAGTAAGATTTTGTGGCAATTAATTTAAGGCAGCAACACTAGAGGGGAGAGTAGGGGAATGGGATCTTTGCTCTGATAGAAGGAATTCAATGAAGAAGAAGAAGAATTTGAGCTGCTCCCCACCGAGTTCTGCAAACCGCTGCAACCCGAAGAGACATTGTTATTAGGGTTTAGCTGAAGAGGACAAGGAGCTCGTCTTTGCAGCCGATGACTCAAATGCCTTCTGAAAATATTGGTGTCATTTTTGTGAGCACAAGTTTGGAAGCCTGGAAACTCAGCACCAGCACTGTCCTCCATTTGTGTGTGTGTTGCCCTGCCTATACTTTAAGTCATTTGGATCTCCCCATCTTAGTTATATAACTTTGAGAGAGATCTTAAGCATTATTTAATTTAGCTATGAATCATAAACGCTACAATAACATTAGTATGTCACTGTGGACTTTTTTTTAAATGATTCAACAAATGTCATTCATGAGATCGGTGGACTTTGATAGCCGGATAAACACTAGGCACGGTGCCACTTGGCCGATGGGGACTGGTCCGGCTAATTGCCAATGGGCCCTCATAGTGGTTTGCCAAATATTGCTAGAGAATGGGACATCATGTGCAAATGTGCAGAAGTTGCACAAGAGTTGCATTGCCCAACGCCCACTCTGTCATGTGAGGAGGAATAAGTGCACATCTTCAAAAGCCATTGTTTTCAGTGACAGGAAATTCAGAAGCACATGATAGTTGAATTACTAAGTAAATAGTACATGCTCTCTCTCTCTCTCTCTCTCTCTCTCTCTCTCTCTCACAATGAATTTTATTGGTTTGTTTAACCAAAGAGAAAGAAATATCTCAAGGTCTGCAGATGAATTTGGTTCACAGAAAGCACTGTCGGTTATATTTTATATGTACATGCATGGTCATGACTCATGATTCTGCAATAATTGTTATGCCAACCTAGCTGATCAAATTAACTAGTGTTTTAGACTTTTGATTGTCATTTGTTTTTCAAAAGAAAAAGAGTGGACATGTTAGGGGCATTGACTGCTGACTGATCCAAGCACAAGACAGAACAAACAGCAGTGTGTCTGTTTTGTGCAGTTCTGCATATTTCGGTGTTTCTTTGTCTTTGCAAGGTGCATGTATATATTGATATATCATTAACTGCATCTTCTGTCCTCTGTAGAAAATATGGACATTCATTTTAACTAAAGAGACACAGAAACAGATTGGTCGATTTAAAGAGAAGAGAACATGGGAATGCAGTATTTGTACACTACTTGTACAGTTATACTGTGCGTACCAGTCTATTTCAAAACATACTTTTTTTTTATTATTATCATAAATAAATGAAAAAAAAAATCAATCAATAAAAGAAAGAAAAAAAAAACTGTAGCTTGACAGACAATGACAATGAAAGACAGTCAACAACAACAAAAAAAACAATCAAAGGCCTAACATTATGCTATGAATATAATACCACCAATTATCATGTTACTTTTGGGGTACTTCTTATCTATATTTTTCGGGTCAATATGAGTTATCTCTTGATTTCTTGTTGAGATAGCCAAGTGGCTGCACCCCATGACTGTTGCACACCAGCCAATAATGGTGAAGGAGGATATACAATTATTGACATTGGTTAGAAAGGAGGCTAGAAATTCAAAAGAGGGCGCATTTCCTCCCTGCCTTTTTTCTCTTTCCATGTATTTGTTGGCCTTTTTATGCTTTTTGTGCTTTCAAATCACACCCTTCCTCAGCTCAGCATTTGGTCAAAAGGAATGTTCAAATTGATTTGGATTGGACTAGAGGGATTTTCGAGGACCATTCCAAGTTCCAACCAGAAATGGGTCCAAACCAGTTTCATGAAAACGTTTGGAAAGTTTATAGAACATACATCCAGATTCTTTCAAGTTTCACCCTAATTAGAAAGACTTTCATGCAACGGGGATAACATTTTTTGCTATCTCCGGTTAATAACTCATTTTTCTGCTCGCGAAGGTTTCAAAGAGTGAAACAGACGCAATTTAGAAACAGCGCAGTGTTGAACAAACCAAAATGGATTTAGACAACCAAACCAGTCAATAAGTGTCTGTCTCCATCTGATAATGATGGGATGCTTAAATAAAATGAGAATCTCCATAAACCTGTGTCCAATGGGAAATTGAGAGGTCAATGTTTGATACCCTCTCACCCACCAAGAAAGAAACACAACTTTGAATGGAAACTTTTTCACTCAACAAAAAGCAGCCTTCCATGCAGCCTCTCATATTGGACCACTGTTTTATTAGGTCAAATTGTCAAGAAACTTTAAGTCATTGGACACTTTATAAGAAATCAGAACCCCAACCATATTTTTTTTGAAAAAACAAAGGAGATTGATGGTAATATAAGGCTACCTACCAAAATATTGGATAAGAAATATTATGTACAGAGTTCTCTGATCATTTCACAAATCAGATTATCCTTCTTTGCTTTCTTGACCCAACGTTAGGTTGGATCACAGTAACAAATAAAGGCTAAAGGGGAAGCTGATAGGGGGGTGTATTTACAAACACTTCACTCTATTGCTTTCGTTTACCAATGGCTGTGTTTCCTAAGTTTAAGTCAATAAACCACTAAAATGGTCTACTTTGGTGAAGTTGGACTAGAGTGGGTTCTTATGTACAAGAGGAGGCGAGATACCCATTCACCAGTTCTTCAAGAATAGGACCTAATCAATTTAAAATTGACAAAAGATCTGGACTTGAAGAGACCCCCAAAGAGGAACCTGGTTGGAGATTCCTCAGAACCTGGTTTTGGGTCTTCAGGGCTGCCTTTCACTTTAAGTATGGTCTGCCCAATTACTTCCCTGATTGCCTCTATGGTCTTGGAATCAACAGGGTAGCCTGATGCATCTCGAACATAGAACGTATTAACAGCTTTGCCTGCTTTGGTTGCCACTTCTGCTCGGGTTACAGTAAGGCTATTCTCTCGAAAGATCCGAGTGACATCAGATAGCAGCCCAACTCTGTCAGTAGTGCAGAGTTCTAACTTCAAACCCTGAACGAGGAAGAAACAAATTATTTGTCTACATATCAATGGAGCCTCTCAAAAAATAATTAACAACTCAATAAAGCACGTTAAACATTACTCTTAACATAGGGACGCATTGTTAACAGAATCAAACAGGTGAATGCAAAAGAACATAATGAGACAAAGGAAATTCGTAAAACAAAAGGTCGACATCCATGTTTTTATAACGGCAATTTGACTCATAATCATATAAGTGCAACAACTAAACTACACATTAGAAAATCAAAATATCCATCACTACTTGTCATGCATTGGAGCTATTAATACCATCAAATGTATACTTTTGGTCAACATAGGAAGCTTTCCAGCCAAACCACAAGCAAAAAAAACCAAAAAATTGAAATAAAATAGTCAGCTCACCTCAGATACTCTTCTCTCAATAGCTGCTTCAAGGCATTGTATCACTCTTTGTCTCTCTGCATCTGATTTCACAGGGGATCCATCTATATGCCTGATATAGTATTCCTAGAAATGCATACAAACAATAATTAGGAAAGCCAACTCTAACCAAATCAAATCCAAGTAAGGCTCATCTCACCTCGCAGCCCAAGAACACAATCATATGCAAGTTGAAAATGTGAAAATGGCATACCTGATAAGCTTCTGGACCCTCAGCATCAATACTTGCATGAAAAACCACATATTGCATGTCTGTCAAAGTGCAAACTGTATCGAAGAGAAGCTTTGGCCTATCTTTACTCCGAATAGTCACCACCGAGTAGTCTTTGTCCTGCCAATTAACAACATTCACATTTGGTCTTTGGTTGTCATCCAAGAGACCATCATCAACTCGTTCATAATCCCTATCTGCAAACATCATTTGGTGAAGCCTTCTTTCAGTGTGTGTAACAGCGTGAGATACAACAGTCCTAGCTCCCCTGGTTTTGTTACTGCCCTTAAGCACATTGCATAATAATTCCTTAATCCTGGCTAACCTCTGAGGATCAGTAACTGCCAACCCCGTCTCCTCATCGGTAACGTGCATCACTGACGCAGCCCTTGTGTTGTGCGTCCAGACTTCCGCACTCACTACATTGCATTTGAGATTGGTGAGGACAGCACTCACTTCAGAGAGTAATCCCGGTCTGTCACTTCCAGTTAGCTCAATTGCAGTATGGTCCGTTGATTGTTTAACCCCAACAGATCTCATGGAAGATGCAAAGCAAGCCTCCGGACCAAGAGACTGAAAATAAAGTGAGAAATTAGAGGCTTTTCATATCAAAAACAACCAAAAATAGGAAAAACAAACGTCAAGCACAACTCACCTTTTGAATATACTCCAGAACCCCTTCATCTGTAACCTTGTTTCCATCTTGATCGGTGACATTAAAAACTGATTTAAAAAATAAATCACGCAATTAGTTTCTAACTCCAGAACAAAAGAACACTAAATTTTTACACTGATAAAAAGGTCTTCCGCTACTAACAGTCACAAAGGTAATAAAAGGATTGTTACCGTCCATGAACCAGCCACCATCCGAAGAGATATACGCTTTGGTTACGATAAGGTTAAGATCAGTTAGAACTTGTACAACTTCCAGAAGTATCCCATACTCGTTTGCACTATCCACCTGCATCAGAAAACTAGAGTAAGTACAAAACTTCCGTAACACGGAGGAAAAAGGCCACGCTAAGAAAGACATATAAAACGATGAGAAATGAGAGCCATACCCTTATCACCGTAGCATTCTTGCAGGCTTTGTTATCAATTACAACCCTGACAAAACAGAAGTGGACAAAGAGATGTAAATCTTAAGATGTGTATCGTACAAGATTATGTTACTTTGAGTCCCCTTGAAGAAAGTGAGATTGCATACCTCGGTGGGTTCATTCTCCGGATGAGTTTCTCATATTCATCATCCATGTCATGTGAAAAGCTCATGCTAACCTCTGAAGAAAACCCAAAAGAAAAAAGAAAAAAAAGAAAAAGGAAAAATATAATTAGACAAAAAGCTAGGAGAACAAAAAGAACCAATTGGAGAAGAAGAGAACCATTGTAACCAATCAAGAAAAGATACTTGTAAATTCCAAAGAATATAAGGAAATGAAAAAAGCCATCGAGTAAATCATTTGAAGGACTTGTTCACAAAGAAAAGATAACTCAAAAATCCAAACTTTCTCACAAAACATAACTTTCATAAGCAGGCAGCAGACAGAACCAAAACTGAGAACAAAGAACTATTTTTACAAATTTCCATCACCCACTTCACAACTAAACAAGCCCCACCCCCTTCTCCAAGACAGGCATAAAGGACCCAAAGCAAAAGGCAAACCAAGGAAGACACTGAAAATCAGGAAGCACACAGAACCCGACAGACACCACAAATCGAAGAACAGAGTACGAGAAACCAAAATGAAATGGGAAAAATAAAAACAGCACCTACCCATTTCAATTGCTGAGGATTAGTGAATCTCTTACACCAAAAGCTTTTTCCTTTTCTTGGTTGTCTAAAAACAAAGGAAGAGGAGAGAACAAAAGGCTTGGTATGTATGTAGAGTACACAGAGAAAAAAAGCCAAGTGGTATATGTTTATATACAGAAAGAAGATCTTAGAATCTTAGGCTTTCCTGTTCTTGATCTCTCTCACTAAGGTAACAAATAAACTATAATAATTCTATACCTTTAAAGAAAACCCAAAATACAAAAATTTAAAGCCAACCCATTGAAACACTCTCCAAAATCAGACAACCCCCGACACAATACTCCAAAAACCTGCAAGTTCAAAAAGTACCACAAAACACACTCACACAGTTTTCCCTGTTTCTCTCTCTCTCTCTCTCGCTCTCTCTCTCTGGCATGCCCTCGCTTTCTTTATATGGCCTCTCTATGTCTCTCTCTGCCACTTTCCAAATCCAATTTTCTCTATAAAACGAGAATAAAAATGACCCCGTAAAAAGAAAGTTTCCCAAATATACAGAGTGGGGCTGGCTTGCTCGCTTGCTCGGGCAGGGCCCTCGCTGACTCTTTGAATCTGATAAACCAACTACACCCGCGCACTTTAGCAACGACCTCCACTTTGAGGGATTGGTGACATGGCAGCGTGCTAAAGTGCGCCGTTGGGGTAGGACCAGGTTCGGTAAACGGTAAAACGATAAAGCTATGGGGGAAAGTAATAACCTCTTCGACTCCGAGGTTTGCGGAGCTGACACGTGGAAAAACAAAGGGCTGCAGTCAATGGACGGACCATGGTTAGGTCCGGTCTGGTCTTCGACTTTTACTAAATAACGGTTTGTCCTTGTCGCCTTTTAGGACTCGGTTAAATTTTGTCGGAAACGCACCGTTTTGGTCAATCTTTTTGGTCTAAGTCGGTAACTTTCTTTTCAATTAATATGTACGATTTAGCATTTAAGTGAGTTTTTAATTCTTGGTTAGTGAAACCGAAAAACGATGGAATCTGAATCTGCATCTTTTTTTTGGGGGGGGGGTTTCAATGGTGAAGGGGATTAGTTAATTAATCTGCACATAATCTCCTTTCTTATTGCTTGCCTCTTGGGCTTGCCTATGGGGCACTGTTCAAAGTTTTCACCCCAACTCTCATAAATATGCTGGTGAATTTAAATTAAATATGAAAATACTTAATTTCATAACGAAACCAAATGGAGAAAAAAAAAGGGAGTTTCACTAATACACCCAAAATAGAGGCTGAAATTATAAAAAAAAAACCCAACATGAAAAACATTTTAGAAACACACCCAAAACCCATTTATTAAACACACTCAAAAACCCATTTATAAACACACCCAAAAAATATACAATTGTTTATTTTGGGTTAATTTTGGGTGTGTTTCTATGTTTTAAACAGTGTTTGGTTTTTTTTATAAATTCATGTCTTATTTATAAATTTGTAAAAAAAAAACGCAAATTCTCTAACAAATCATATATAACGCCTAATTGAAAATCATTGCAGTGAAGTAATTGCTCCATGGGTTAGGAAAGCTAACAAAACTAACAAATACAAGGTGAAAAGTTTCTATAAGAAAATCCTATCAGATGACTCGGATCCATAAATATAACCAAAATCTTCCCAATTCACGTCCATTAAAAAATCTTGCAAATATTTCAACCTATTTTTGCACACATGAAATATATCTAGGATTTTAACTCTTTTTTTCTTTTTCTTTTTTTTGGCACAAAAAGTCAAAAGATCATGTCTCTTCATCATACAACAAATTAAATAACTCGATAAATTTAGACGTAAGTGTCAATGAAATTATAATTGATTTTGTTTTTTTTTTTTTTTGGATAGAAGAAAAAGGACACTTGTTATTCTTATTAGATGATTTTTTTTATTTTTACTTTGAACAATTAAGTGGTTAATCATTTTGTTTATGATCTGTTTCATGTCTAGAATTAGTTGGCATGTGTATGCAATATTCATGGCATAAGCCATAAAACTAACCCCACAACATTGGCATGATCTTTAATTTCATTATCCAATGCCCATCCCAAATATATAACAAACAGCATTTCTGCACAAGTGGACTGCTTGCTTCTATAGCGCAAGGATTATAATTTTTTTTTATTGTTTAAATTTTGTTATGGGTGACATGGTATGGTAGTGACGGAAAACAAAATAGAGTCCAAGTCCCCTATATCCGCGGACTAATAAAGAAACCTAGCTACTATATATTCATTAACATAATTGGAGATTCAGAATCAACCCAATCATGAATCATCGCGATTCATAAGTGGTGTCCCATGCATCTATTTGTTAATCAAAATTAACTGTTTTTTTAACGATCGACAGTTTAAAACTACACTAATCTATATGCCGACACCAATTTATGTGCGAATAGAAATTTAATCTCGAGTACAAGAAAAAGATACAAATACAATTTACATCTACAAATATTATATAAAAAACCGAACACAATAGCGTATTTAATTGACCAACTAATTGAATCTACGTCTGCAAATGAAGCTAAACTCTAATATAAATTATAGTATGTATCACCAGACCGCTCAGTCTGTGTAATAAGCATAAGTTGGTGGCGGGGGTAATGTAACAATTAGGCCGCCGAAATTGTAAATTCATATATTTTTGTGAATATTTATATTCTTATTCATAGGATAATGTTTTTGGTGGATATGCGTGCCCCACGTCCACAAATCCCACATGGTTAGGCAAACTACGAGCCAAAGCATATAATAATACGTTGTATTAGTAGAGTACATGAAATAATACAAATATTTATCACTATACGATACCCCCTCTCCCTCTTTGCCTAAATATTGCTTGTAAATACAAAATTAGAATATTAGAATTGAGTCAAAACATTTGGTGCGCGCGCACATACGCGTGTCTTGTGGTTCATGCCGGCCTCGTGCTCCTCGCACGTGGCCCCATCTGCTACCTCTTACCTTATATATTTTGAATATCAATTGTAACATATCCTTACTCCCACCACAGACAGCCAAAAAGCTTCAACCCATAAAACTTTTAGCAACATTAATGTCTTGTTGTATAACAAGAAGTTTGTAGCTCGACTGGTTATCAAGCGTTATTTATCTATCCTCGATGTGCTTTTGGTATTCTGACAATCTGCCCATTTTTCAGGAATGTGCCCTCACCTTGCAAAAATTCATTGATAATGGTAAAATTGGGTGTGAATTTGGTGGCATCCACCTAAAGAGTGGCCTGAGTTGATGGGTATATATAAGCACACCATGAGTGAGGGCGATAGGTGGTGCATGTAGTGGTGCTACATCTATGCGACGGCCACTTGACCACAAAACTTACTAAGGGGAGCTACCATTTGTGACTTTGTTTTGTTTAAATGTCCACCCAAAACCCACCACCTTCATCCATAAACACCCGACTTTCTATACAATCATAGCTAGAGCCTAGAGCCTAGAGCCTAGAGCTTATAGATAAAGAGACGACCCCAGAAACCCTAAGACCCAAGCCAGATGAATAACTCTCGGAATTTGTCTTCTTACGATTGACCCCCCCACCACTATATATTGTGCCCCATTTGACTGGGTGACCACCCCCGTGAATTGAAGAAACCTTTCAAGTGGTGTCCTAATCATCCTCCTTTTCTCTTTCCCTTCTTGTTCTTGAGTGCCCTAGAAAGGGCACACATATCTTGGAGATGACTTGCTTTCCAAGTGCCCTAAATATCTTATCTTGTAATGTCTTGGAAATTTATGCATGTACGCAATTGTTTGAACCAAATTAATTTTTTCATATTGTAATGTCATTAATATTTATATAGCATTATCATTTCATTCATGCCTACTTATCTTGATGAAATCTTCGTTGAATCAAGAATCTAAACTTGGATGATTTGGATATAGTATCAATGAATAATCAAGTTTTAAGTTAGAATAATTGAAAGTAACATAATTAACGAGCAAATCACGTCCATTATGTCTAAATGCTTAGTTACATGAGTTATTCATAATGAATCATAACATTTTAAAATTTATTAATCTATACACCATGATTCTTTATTTTTCTGATTGAATCGTATATATCACTCTTCTACCTTGTTAGTTAGTCTTTCCTTTTTAGACGTGCACAAATTTGATTATCACAATCATGATACATGAGGGTTTCTACCAAAACAAATTCATGGATCCCGAGCCTCTACATTTAGAGTTTAAGTATTACCCGCATTTAGCAAAATCTTGACAATCATAATAATCTAACCATTTAAAAAAGATATGACACGTCAACAACATAAGTATTTAAGTTTCTTTTCAACATAAAATTAATTAAATTTAACAATTATTTGTTTAAACAAAAAAACATAAAAGAAAAATCCACGAGGTGAGGGGAGAGGGCTATAGGTTTCTTCACGAAAGGTGAGGTGTAATTAAGAGGGGGCTGCGAGGAATTAATACATAGAAAGATTATCAAAATGGGAAGGGGTTGCGAGCAATACACAGAGAGAGAGAGAGAGAGAGAGAGAGAGAGAGAGATGATGAATGGTATACATAGTGGCTTGGGTGCTGTTGGGGTGGGGGTAGAGAGATGATAGATGGTATGTTTGCTTGGGTGTGTTGGGGTTGGTAGGGGCGGTAGGGATAGGGGTGGGAAGGTGAAGTTGCATTCTGGTTTTTAAATTTTCAGATTATGTGACTTTTTAATCTTATTTTTTTAGTTTTAAATTGAATTTTAAAATATTTGAAGTTATTGATTTTTTTATTAATTCTTTAAGGTTATGTGTTTTTTTTATAACAATTAAATTATTATGATAGTTAAAATTTTACTAAATGCGTGAACTCAGAGACTTTAGATCCCAAATTCATATAACAATGCTCGTCTTTGAATCAAATCTTACTGAATGTGACTAGCATTTTATTTTATATTATTCAATTAATAATAGATATCGCTCGTCCTTCATCATTATCAAGCACAGTCCAACCACCGTTAACCACT